CTGCACCATAAGGACTGATTAAGACTTTGTCTATATATCACCACTCCAGTGTCATTATGTTCTAGACACATAATGACAAATAAAAAACCTTACGTCTAATTGTTTGAGATGTACCGGAATACAATTATTAGACCAAAATTACAGACAATTCTAGTAAGTAACAACCACATATGATTTCTGATTTCTTTTTTAAACCATTGCAATCCTTAGCTCCTGCTAAGTGAGTTGGACATACAACACCTGTACCTCAGTGTGAAACTACATCACCTCACCTGTTGCTTAGGAACACTTTTCTTGACACGACTGAGGGTCTTACGACTGTAACCTTCACCACCCAGATGAACTCTGACAGCTCCAGACTCCAGAGGGTCAGCTGTCATTTTGGGATACATATGTAAAACCTCCTGGGAAAAAAAAGGGATGTTTCAGCTGAACTCTTCCAGTAGTGTGTTTGGTAATAATGATCGTAAGGTTTTGGAATGTAACTGAGAGACCACAGAAGAAGAATGTAAAGGCCCACCTGATGCTGAACACTCATATTGATTCTTCTCAGCAGCCTCTTCTTCTGTTCACTCAGCAAGCTGTCGATCTTCCTCATTGGAGGGAGGTACAGCTCATCTAAGCAGTCAGAACAACAGTCCTTCACTTTTAACTTTGCCTTCTTCCTGTTTTTTTATAATAATGGGTTTTCTTTTCATGATGAATAATAAACAATACAGCTTCCAGGATTTTTTAAATCATAAACAGAGCACAAAATTTGTTCAAAGTTATACCTGCAGGCTTAAATATCTACATATGTCATTACCTAAAATTGGGTTAAATATCTTTTAGCAATTTGAAGAAAAATAGCCCATATTCTAGCCCATAAGCAAGATTTGGGCATTATTCTCTCACAATAACTTAAATGTTGTCCTTTATTGAGCTACAGAGAAAGACCAGGAAATCATTTAAAATTGGTGCTGATGATGGGGGTTTATGATATCTGACCAACATGCAGGCTCTTTCCTCTGTATTATAGTAAACAATCATGTTTTTACAAGTCTGTAGTTGTACATTGCAAAAATCTTACCAAGTATTTTTGGACTACTTTCTAGTCATTGTACAGTTGAAATAAAACAAAACTCATTTACAAGTAACTTTTCAGCATGAAATAGGAACTTGTTGTAAGTCAATAATTTCTTAATATTGATGAAAAAGTACTCATTATAAGTGAAATAATCTGCCAGTAGAAAAATAATTTTTTTCCATATTAAATATAAATGAAAATGTCTGGTTCCAATGGCAGATTATTTTACTTGTTGCTAGTACTTTTTCATCATTATGAATTAATTAATTATTGACTTAAAACTATTATGCTGAGAAGTTACTGGCAAATTAGTATTTCAAGTGTACTATGACATTTGCACTAGAAACTAGACTAAAAGCTGCTTGGTAAGATTTTGTGTTTTTGCAGTGTGTTGTCCATGTGAGACTCACCATCAGTGTCCTCCAGAGCCTGGATCATATCAGGGTCGAGTGCTGTGCTCACCAGCATCTCCACGTAGCTCTTGAACATTTCCCTCATGGCCCGGATGCTGATGCCTCCCCATACCGGGCCTAGAGCATGGAGACGCTGCAGTGAGGGGGGTGGACACAGCGCAGTGGCAACTCTTAGTTTTATAGTTTTTTTTTTTTTTAGCAAGTAATACTTATATTATTTTTTAAGTAAATGGCTTGTACTTGTGTAGCTCTTTAGCAAGATCAGAGGACCTCAAAACGCTTAATACGACATTCAGTCATTCATCCATTCACACACACATTCACACATTAATGGTGGCAAGCTACGAGATAGTACCCAGAGCTTTCGCTGGGGCAGTCTCACCCCAGCAGAGGCCCTCTGACCCCACCAGCAGGCAGGGCAGGTGAAGTGTCTTATTTAAAGTGTACAACAATATTTGCATTAGAAACTAGACACATGGTCAGATTTTGTGTTTTTACAATGGGTTTCAAAAAGGGGCTAAGATCAGCAGAGGTTCTCGACTGCTGGAGAACTTCAAATTTTCTCCTCCACATGTCCCAAACAATCAGAAGGGAAATTCATTTTCAGGAGTCTTTACATGTTCATCTTTATACTTCAGGCAGAATTTCAACGTCTATTGATAGTTTTCTTGGATGAAAAAAAACCTCCTTCCTTTGGACCAGGAGAAAATGAGTTGAAAACTGTTTTCGCACATAAAATGTCATGTACTATTGCGGTATTTTGGTGCACATTCAACTTTAGATTATGATGGGTGGTCTAGGTTAGTTTTGCCTGGCTTTAAGACTAGTTTTTATTAATCATGCCTTCTTCAGGCAGGACTGATAGGTGGTGTGGTGTCTTTCCTGCTCTCTGGGCGCGCGTGTGGGCAGACACGTGCTGAGGGTTTTGGGGCAATGCCCACAGTTAGCCGTGTATGCAGGTTTAATTTGTCATTTGCTTGCTTGTTTTGTTTTGCTATTTTGTTTCTTGGTTTAATTTGCTTTTTTTTTTTGCTGTTTGGTTTGCAATGTTCTTTTTTTTTCTTTTTTGCATTAATAATTTTTTGTTAGTTATCGATTGGGTTTGAGGATACAATTTACTGTTGAAGAGCTAATGTGCAAAATATATGTTGTGTATTTGGTGCAGTTTGTAAATTGTACTTTATGCAAAGTAATAATCCACCTCTCTTTGTTGTCTTGACCTGGCACAACCTTTTTGTAAACAGTGAGAATCTGAATAGTCCTGAGCCTATAACCGCAGGTGGAGTTGTTGGTCATAATATTTCATAATTTAAATTTCAGACACCGTTTCTGTCACACTATGTGCATCCTATGCCATTTCACCACAATCTGAAAATAAAACTGAAGTCATAAAAACATTTGCGTCACTGAGAGTGGACAGAATGAGACGGATATGTACAGCCATATTCACACAGAGCTGACCTTCATCATCACTGGGCCGGGAGGAGTCAGACTCAGAGGATGAGGACGGTACCTCCTTCAGCCACTTCTTCCTCTTCTTTGGTGGAGGCTTGGCTCTGTCTTTAGAAATCTTGTTTTTCTCTCCTCTCTTCTCTTCTTTCACTCTTAAAATCTCCAAGCTGCTATCTTTTCCTTGTCTCTTTTCTTTCTCAACATCTCTTCTTTCCCTTCCTTTCTGCTCACTCTGCTTTTCTCTCATTTCCTTCTGCTGTTTAAGGATTTCCCTCCTTTCTCCTTTCTCTTTCTGTTCTTTCTCCTTCTGTTCAGTCTCTTGTCTCAGTCTTTCTCTTAACTCTTGTTCCTGTTTCTCCTCTCTCTTCTCCATCTGCTCTCTTTCACTGTTATTTTCCTCTCTTTCTCTCTCCTCTCTCCCTTTCTGCTCATTCATCCTATCTATATCTCTCTCCGTTCCTCTGAACTCCCTCTGTTTTCGCTCTCTTTCTCTCATTATTTTTTCTTTCTCTTTATACTCCCTCTCTTGTTTCTCCTTTTCCTCTCTTCTCTCTCTCTCTCTGAGCTCCCTTTCTATTTTCTCTCTGTGTTCTCTCTCTCGTTCCTTTCCTCTGGCTCTCTGCTCCTGCATCTCTTTTTCTTTCTGTCTCTCCTTGTCTCTGTCATCTCTCTCCACTCGGGACTGGTTCTGACTCTGAATGCTCTGCACCTGTTTAGTCAGAGACTGCCGTCTGTTAGACAGTTGGATGGAAGAATAGGACAGACATAGTGAGCGCCTCTCATCAGGCTCAAGGAGCTGGATAATGAATCTGAAGTCAGAGGAGAAAGTCAACCTGCAGCCTTACCTCAGGGCCAGGCCGGCTCGGTGCCAAGGCTTGCGAGAACACACCCGGACGTAGTCCTTCTTGTTGACGTTCTCCAGGAACTTCACATACAGACGCTGGTAGCACATTTTGGCATCCCCAAAGTAGCCCAGATACTGAGGAAAAATGTTATTCACTTGGTGATTCACTTATTCACATTAACTTCTGTTATGAGTTACTGCAATTTTATGTGACAGACACACCAAGTGCATCCATGTAATGTGGAAGAAAAATGATGAATCATTTTTCAAATGTTTACAAATGAAAGTCTGAGAAGTGTAGCCATGAACAATCAACCTAATTTACTTTGACACCTCTAAGATCCAGCACAGAGAAATTTAAAGTTTTAAGCTCACTGGACCACCAGTAAGACATTGGTGGTCCAGTGTATCACCACTGGACCAGAGTCATGTGGTGATACAGACATATAAAGCTGAGTGTCATCAGCATATATTTGGTAGGAGACATTGAAGTATACTAAAATCTGAGCTATGCAGCTCATATGGATCCTTAAAGGGGCAGTATTATGTATTTTCTAGGCACATCACTGCCATTTTATAGCATACTCACGTAACTATACTACCTTTAGTTATAAAAATGTTATATATATCAAATGACTTTAAAAAATTGGCTTTGTAATTTAATGCCTTGATATTGGGTCTCTGTCTCTTTAAAAAATCCTACTCTTTCTGAAACTACATCTTCAGGAGTTTCAGAAAGCAAAGCGCTGTTTAGGAGTTGCACTGAGAAGTAACTTGTACAATGAGCGCAGTTCCACCAGGAGTTTGCTAATTGTTGCTGGCTAGTCTGAAGGGGCTGACTGGGGAGTTGTGGGAGAGGGCTGATCTGAGGTGGAAGCTCTGAAGTTTGGAAATTACAGCTCCGAGGAGGAGCTGTATGTTGAAGACAGAGCTAGGGCCACCCCAGTGTTTGCACAACTGAATGGTTTCCACGGGAGATTAAAGGATTTCTCAAACATGCATTAAAAAAATAAGGCAACAGTATAGGTGTGTTTTTCATGAAGGAATAATATAACATTTTGAAAACTCAAAACAGTAATTTTTACATAATACTGACTCTTTATGGTCCTGTTAAGTTCAGACCTAAATCCAACTGAGAATCTGCAGCAAGACTTAAAATCTTAAGTTGCAAAAACATTCCATTCAATCTGACTGAGTTTGAGTTAGGCAGAAATACACAAAGCTAGTAGAGACGTAACTATAGTGAAAGGTACTTCTAAAAAGTGGAATTCAAGATGGCCAAAAACAAAAACCACACTTTTGAGCAATTTATTTACAAAATAAATGAAATCCATTCTTCCAACTTTTTGATTCTCTACCACTTCATGTTGGTCTGTCGCATAAAATCTCATGAGACACACTGAAATCTGAGATTATAGGGTGATGGATGGATGGATGGATTATAGAATGACAAAATCCAAAAACAATTCAAGGGGTATGAATACTTATACTAAGAATATGTACTTTGGAAAACTCACATTGCTGGTTGCACAGAACTGTCTTTGGCCATCTTTAATCTCTGGGCTGAATTTCTGGAGCAAAGCTTTCTGGACTCTCCATATTGGTGGAGGTTCTCGGCCTGTCTGCAAAGCCATCTATAAATACAAAGAAACAACTCAGGTCATTTGATAGTGAATCTTTTATTCACACCACTTTCAGTTGATACCAGATACACTATATTGTATGTATACAATGGATGGAAAAATGTTTGCTCATCCATCCAAATGATCAGAATCAGGTGTTCCAATCACTTCCATTTTATACACGCAGGTGTATAAAATTAAGCACCTAGGAATGCTTGACAAATATTTGTTAAACAATGGCTCACCCATGAGCTCAGTGAATTCCACCATGGAACTGTGATAGGATCCCACCTCTGCAACAAATTCAGTTGTGAAATTTTCTCACTCCTAAATATTCCACAGTCAACTGCCAGCTGTATTATAAGAAAATGGAAGCCACCAAGTGGTAGGCCACGCAAACTGACGGAGTGAGGTCAGC